GAGGCCTGGCAGCAAAATGCGACGGCGGGGAAGTCCACCTCGGAGCCTGTGTTGATTCCGCTTCCCGGCATGGTCGGTCCTGAAGTTCTTTCAGGATGAGTGCAGCAGTGTTGATGTCGGTGCCGTGGCACCACACGTAACTGTAGCGGTAACCCGGAGCGTGTGCTCCGGTTTGGCCGAATGTCTGCACCGGGGGTGTCACCACCGGGACAAAATAGCACTGATAAGAATCAGCGACCTCAAAAGTGTTGCAGGCATCAAGCTGAAGAATCGGAGGGGAGCAGTTGCCGATTCCTGCCGCCAACGACATATGCGACAGTTCACGGGCGAGGCTGGATGGCATGGCCGGGATCGCCGCGGCAAACTTAGCTCCTCTTGTTCCTCGACGTCCACCGCGTCGAGCTTGGGCTGCTCTTCTGGGAGCAGTTCGGCTGCAGCTTTGATGCGATGTGGAGAATTGGCAGCTGTAGCTGCCTCTTGCCTAATTACCTGCCATGCAGCATGGTATCCTTCCCGTCGGGACTGTAGCTGATGCGGGTGTCCCTTGTTTTCTGACACGTGGGACTTTCGGCGGGTTGCAGGCGGTGGTGCACGCGGTGGGTCATACACGGCAGTGTTGTAAACTGTCCACGGTGCAGGCTGTGGTGCTGGGGGTGGATGCCCCTGAAATGTAGGATAGGGGGTGGCAGGGCCGAAGTGCGCAGCGGCGGAGCAGGAGGTAGGGTGGCGCCGGGTCCTGGGCGCAGTTCCTTGGTTGACATGGAAGATGTGGAAGAAGAGGATGAGGAGGTAGTGCGTTTCTTCTTCTTGCGCACATCAGGTGCACTGCTGGGAAAGGCTGCAAAGGGAGTGGCAAGCTGAAGGGGAGCTTGCGACACGAGTGGCATGGTTGGTTGCAAGGCAGTCATCGGCGGTGCACACGGTCCCATGCACTGTCCTGTGCGAGCGTCGTACAGCATCCTTTGCAAGAGCGGGACAAAAGTGCAGAACAGGTTGCTTGAGTTCAAGAACTGCTACCAAGTACAAACGCAGCACTCAGACATGTAAATCACTAGCACTGGCAAACGACGCGATGGTGCAACCCTCACTGCCTGAATCCTGCCTGAGTCGCGTTGCCTGGCCCCAACCCCATCAACCCTCCGAAGTAGCACTTGCAAAACGGGCGTTATGCATAGCACTGGCTTCAGTCGCTCAATGATCCTGGTGATGGCATCAGTGCAATCAGAACGAAAACCTGACACCTGTGGTGATGATTCAGCATATGACGTTGAATCTTGCAGAGTTGGCGTCAACATCCACTTTGTGGGCTCGAGCTTTTGCTCGCTGTGATCTGGCCCCATTTCGGGAATTCGAGAACGACACACACTTTGGCTCGGCACGAACTGATGCAGAGGAAGACAGACCGGACCAGACGCGACAAGGACACTGAA